CTCAGGGGACAGTACTGACATAGAAACAGAAGAGACAGACACACAGTTGACGCCTCGACTTTCTGAAAAGGAATCTTTATTAATATTTTACAATCCTGTATTTACTGTAGGTTTTTCTCCCCTCTTGAGCCACATCGCTCAGTGACGCCGGCGGAGCAGAACAGGAGACGAAAGACGAAAGAAAACGAAACGCTTCAGTTTCTGCTTGTGAAGGACCGGGGACGGGGAAGGGGAGAAATTCACATCTCGGAAAGAAAAATCCGTCAGTCTCTCTGATCTCTCGAAACAAGACAAAACCCAAACCAGGGAGTCTCTCACGGCATGCTGCCCGAGTCCGGCAGGCCTCTGGGCACCGGTGACCCGAGAGGAGCCAGGCAGGCCGGTTCAGGAGTAATCCAGTCCAAGTGGGTGGTCAGCCGGGAATGCCCTCGCCTCCTCTCCTGCCCATCACTGCAGGTCGCGGTCCTCCAGGTAGCGATATTCGAAGGTGAACCCCTCCTTCTTCCTCTGGCCCCACTTCTCGTAGTCGAAGTAGATGTACGTGCCCTGGGCAAGACAGGCACAGCAGGATCTGTCAGCTCGCCACCGGCTCTCTCGGCCCTCTCACTGCTCTGGCATCAGGGGGGGTGGGGTCTCACCTGCTCAAACTCGTCTGTGATGGTCTTGGGCTCCTCGTGCCTCTGGAACCACATCATGTACTTGGTGTGAAACCGCCAGGACTGCTTCTTCAGAGCCTTTGCTGCCAGATACTGCGCCTTGGTGCCCTGCAGAGAACCGCAGTCAGTGCCCAGCCTGCCCAGGGCAGAGAGCACCACGTCACGCAGCGCCACGCCGCGCGGCCGCCTCACCTCCAGGTAGTAGAAGATGAAGAAGAGCGTCTCGGTGGACAGGCGCTGGTAGAACTCCACCGAGTCCGAGTGGGGCGGGGGCACCTGGTGGTGGAAGGGCAGAGTGGGGCACGGGTTCCTCATCAGGTACTGCCTGGGAGAGGGAGCAGAAGAGACAGGGGTCAGGGGTCGGCGCAGACGCAGTCAGGGGTCGGCGCAGGAGAGGGGAACAGCGCAGACAGACAGGGGTCAGCACAGACACAGAGACAGGGGTCAGGGGTCGGCGCAGACGCAGCCAGGGGTCAGGGGTCGGCGCAGACGCAGCCAGGGGTCAGGGGTCGGCGCAGGAGAGGGGAACAGCACAGACAGACAGGGGTCAGCACAGAGACAGACAGACAGACAGGGGTCAGGGGTCGGCACAGACCAGTACCTGATCCTCTCGGAGTCAGAGGGGTGAGGCATGTGCGTCCAGGCGGACTCCTGCATGGCCTGCTGGTACAGCTGGTCCTTGGACAGGGGCACTGGCCCCAGGGGACACACCCCCAGAGAGGGTGGGATACTGACCTCGGAGAGCGTGGCCTGGGGGGCCGCCGGGGGACCCGGGGGAGCAGTGGAGCTGGAGAACAGGTCTGTGACACAGAGTGAGACGGATTAACAGCACAGAGAGAGGTCCGGCGAGAGCAGAGACACAGAGACACAGAGACACAGAGACACAGAGACACAGAGACACAGAGACACAGAGACACAGAGACACAGAGACAGAACAGGCCAGCGAGAGAAGAGACACAGAGAGAGACAGAGGAAGGAGGCTGT